AAATAAGAATAACTGATACTGATAAAAACAGAGAAACAACACATATATGGCAGAAACACAGTAAGAGAAATAACATAGACAGATATATTTGTATAGAAAGTTAGGATTTTTTTAGTTGAAAGGCACAGAAAAAGGTAACAAAGACACAAAGAAGGGGGAGTGGCAGTTAGAGTGAGGAATGGGGGGGAAATTGCAGGTGTAAGCAGTTCTGTGTCTGCCTGATCACTGCGACTCCACGTGGAGGTGTCTCTCTCTGGGGTAACACCTGCTCCGCCAAGGTTTTTGTCTCTCACATCTGTGTGTGCGTGTCAGCATGGTATGAAACATGCACAAAAACTCACCTCTCCTACACATCGCAAATGTGCATAAACAACCGCTCTTACACATCACAAACACACGCAAACACTCACCGCTCTTACACATCACAAACACACGCAAACACTCGCCGCTCTTACACATCACAAACACACGCAAACAATCACCGCTCTTACATATCACAAATATGCACAAACATTCACCGCTCTTACCACAATAATCGCACAAACACTCGTCAGTCTTGCACATCACAAACACATGCACTCAATGTTCTCATTCAGGAATGATATCAGAGGTGTTGAGTTTTAGTGTGAAAGGTTCATAGAGAACCTGTTATTACTCTCGGACAAACAAAGATAAAGGTTTAGAGCTCATCTAGAACTTACTATGATTGTAAGCGTACCCAGGACTGGTTGCTTGGCAATTAGTCTTCAGGAAATGCAGCTTCATACCAGATCCTACAAGTAAACATGGACAGATGTTGTGAGCAGCCACATTTAATTGTGCTAAATGACAATCCTCTCTGTAACCTCTGTGCTTGAGAGAGGCCGAGAGAGAACCCGAATGTCTTTATGGTGACGGAATTCTAAGGGGATGCAGATGATTCGGCACATGGAGCTGGGAATGCATGACATACCTGATAGTCATCTGGATTTTTCCGTTGACCTGAAATCACATTCACAAGGTGCTCCTCCACCCTCCCACCTGCATGCTCACTGTCCTTCTGCTCCTGTCCCAGTAGTGCCACAGACCAATGGGAAGCTTAGTTCACAATTAGGTGATAAAATGGAGTTGGGCTGCTCCTGTCCCTGTTTGATAATAGATCTGCTCCCCACACACTGTGGTTTCTGTGTGTGTGTGTGTGTGTGTGTGTGTGTGTGGATAAAAAGCAGAGTCAATGTAAAAGGCAGTGCAGAATGTGTTTCTTTTCCTGCATGACTGTAGGGTGTACAAACTGACCTGAGCTGACACAGCTGAGTGCCATAATGAATATAAATGGAATCTCCAAAAATAGCCCCCTACCCCCCACACTCACACACACTTCCACCCTCCCTTTGCTCTGCAATGCAAACTGCTCTTTGTGCAAGCGCTTGCTGGAATATACCAAGTTTACCCTGGCACAAAAAAGGGGATGCTTAGCACCAAGCAGCCTGTGGGAGCTCAGGCTAGGCTGTACAGCTGGTCACCCTGCTTCTACCTCCCACTTTAACTTTCTGATATTTAAAATTAGTGCTATTACACTGCCAATGTTTTATTTCAGATGTCCACTTGACAGACTCCACACAAATTGCTTAGAATAACACATGCCCAGATGGTGAATGCCAGTCCTGTGTTCATAAGTGCTCTGAATGCACAGAAGGCTCTTAATGGCTGATGCCAGATCAGTCTAAGTGTTTTGTCTCGTAACGGATAAGGGTTATGGCGGTGGCAGGGTGAACTGATCCTAAAACAGCCTGAAGGAAGCAAGCAAAGCTTGTGAGGACAGGGCTGTGATTGGTGGAGCTGTGGAACTGAATAGGAAGGCAGTTTAGATGCACCCCCTACGTTGGACCCATGTGCTCCTCTCCTGGGGGGGGGGGGGGGGCAGTTGCCAGCAGTGAGAGGTATGATGGCACTGTGGGGAAAAAAGGCTTTGCAGCCAAAGTGCAGCTGGTAGAAATGGATTGTAGGGGAAGGGAGGTGAGATGAAACAGGCCTGAGACGCAGCTGGCATGAGGACAGTAACAGGACGCCTTGGCGCTCTGCATAGGTGCTGTTCCGGAAGCAGGAGTCTGCAGAAGATCTCAGTGGAGATGAACAGCTTGATTTCACCATGAGTCAGATAGTACTGCACTAGTACATTAATGAGTTATTAAGCGTGCTGCAACTCCGAGCTGACTGTTTCATTTTGAAAGAAGAAAAGACTGGCGCGAGGAAAAATACATTTTTCATAAATCCTTTTATTGGGCGGCATGGCGGCGCAGTGGTTAGCATTGTTGCCTTAGACCTCTTGGACCAGGGTTTTACCATGTTGTCTCCACCATGGCTCCATGTGTGGGGAGTTTGCTCGTTCTCCCCATGTCGTCATGGGGGTAACTTTGGGTACTCCGGGTTTCCCCCCACAGTTTATTTGGAGATACCAGATTGCTCGTAGGTATGCATGTGTGAGTAAGTGGTGTGACCTGTGATGGGTTGGCCCCCCATTCTGGGTTGTTCCCTGCCTTGTGCCCATAGGCTCCAGACCCCCTACAACCCTGAATAGCACAAGTGGGTACAAAAGATGTATGGGTGAATCTTTTTATAGCAAGCAGTT